ATCCAACCCTGAACCCCTAAATTCATGGGTTCCCCCACTATACTCTCCCTCCTTATCTAAGGAGACTCAAGCTTAATTTGGGCTAATTCCGGTGGAACCTATGGGAGCGATGCAATGAGTATAGAGAGTAGGAAGGGAACCCATGATGAATTCCAAGCCTAGACGCCTGAACCTTAGACTCCTCAAGTCTCGAATCCCTTCACCCGCAAACGAACCTCCTGTTTGTCGGCGTTGCATGTCTTCTGCTATTAACGGAACCTTCTTGCGATTGAGCCTCAGAGTGCCCTCCAAAACATTCTACGTGGTTTAGGGCTTAGGATGCCCCTGCTNNCCCCCCCCCCCCCCCCCTTCCCTTAATACTACCCGCCGCATCGTTCCCATAAACTCACTTTATTTGAGGATACTTAGCGCCAATTACGATTAACTAAGGTTCACGGATAGACAAACCCATAGGAAAACCCATTCCGGTAGCCTAACCCTCACACCAAACCCTAGATGAACCCCGCACCGTTTCTCTGGGCCGCCCGGCGCTTTCCCTGGCCCTGCGCCACATCGACGATGGCGCAGCGGGCGCATGGACCCAAGCGCTTCAGGCGAAGAGGGCCTCAGTCTATAGTATAGGGTTTAGCGTTTAGGGGTTTAGGGGTTTAGGGTTTAAGGTTTAGGCGGTTTGGGGTGTGAACTAGGTTAGGGCACATGTGTTTCCGCAAACTAGACTGGAACCTAACATGGCAGGCTGTTCACATTTTCGGTCCCCCAATTATAATGCAGCTTTAACATGTGTGATATCCAAACAACCTTGGGGCGTGTAGTCTACAGGAATTGTGTGTACTGTCCTCACCTAACAAGCCAAACAAGCAGCACAACAAGTTTTTTCAATTGCAACCACTTCCTAGGTAAGGACCCTAATGGACAAAACAAGTAGCTGCCTGGAAGCCCCTAGCTGTTGACTTGATAACACCCCTAAACCCTGTAAACCCTATAGGTTTAGGCTTTAGGGTAGCCTATAAGCCCTTACAGGTTTAGGCTTTAGCGTGCAAGGTTCACATTTTCCTAAACCCTATAAACCCTATAGGTTTAGGCTTTATGGCTTAAGGTTCATACTTCACATAAAAAAGCCCTACCTAGCCGCATAAGTCCCTATGTATCCCCCATATTATCAGTATGCCCGAAGCTTGGAAAACTCCGTAGGCATCCTGCAATGCAGTAATCCCCACCGCTGTATATTAAGACCCCCCCGCCTGCCCAATATTAAACCTTCCCATTGTGGTATACTATAACCCTAAACCCTAAACCCTAAACTATAATATGTGGGCAACATCTAATTATAGGGAGGTTTGGGGCTTTAATATTAAGGGGAGGGGACTTGGAAACCTATCATCCTAGCACACATGGCCTGAGCCCTGGACCCTGTGCCCTGCTTTTAGGCTTTAGGGTTTAGGTCTCAAGGCACTAATTATCAGATCCTCCCCCAAAGCAAAGTACCGACTACTATTTCAACGACCACTGGCTGACTTTGGTGTACCACAACATCCAATGCATAAACCACAGATATCAACCGAGATCGCGGACCAGACGTATCCCTGCGCTTGAGAAGCTGACTGAGGCACTGGCCAATACGCATCTCATCCCACGTGTCCTGACAAAGTACTGTGGAGCGGAACCTCCAAACTCTAAACCCTGAAGTCTGAACCCTAAACCGCGTAAATTGACCCGAAATCCTGAGCCTTAAACCCTAAGGTCGGGACCTAAACAGTTACCAGTATTCAAGGTACTGGATTCCTTGAATAATAATGCTTAGGGTACGTCGAGCAGACCTCAAAGCCTCCAAGCAAAATTGTACTTACTCAGGCCCCTAACGCTTGAAATTCTGCTTGAGAATAACCTTAGATAACACAATATGAGATGGCATGAACATTACTTGCTTATGGCAATGGTGGAATTCATGTAGGGTGCCCCGTATCGTTTCGCAGGTTTGGGGGGTTATCGTACTTTCAAAACCTTCCGCGCATAAAACAACCACCTTCACTATTTAACCATCACGTCTCATATAATTCTCCTGTAACCTAATCTCTGAATCTGTTGAGGTGTTTGGAACCCCTAAATCCTAAATCCTATAGACTCTAAAGCCTGTAAACCCTAAACGGCCCTAAACCGTGTAAACGCTATAGCCCCTGTAAACCGAAAACCCTATGAACCCTGTAAAACCAAACTCTATAAACCCTGTAAACCCTGCCCCCCAAACGTCAGCCTCCGCGTGGGGTTCTATGGGACCCTCGAGGATCACATTCGGTCTGAACCGGTCCTAAGCTGAGCGAAACTCTACAAGCAGGGGGCCTCCCGGTTTGAAGTTGGATTTTGATGGTAGTCGGGACAAGTATAGGGTCACAAGTCCTATAACTAGTAGCTATGGCACGTGTATGGAAGTTTATGTGTAGTTACGTAATAGGGGCCCCTCCTTGTACGGTCTAACTGGAAGGCTTAGGTACGAGCTATGTTGTAATTCTGGAAAATATGCGCTGAGTAGTTCAAGGTGGTAACCCTGAATGCTGAACCGCCTCTGAGGCATGTAAGGTGGTGCGAGATTTCGTGCAGCCAGAGTACGGACTTGTTAACAAAAAAAAACATCTCTCTCAACATCATGTTGGGTTGCAGTAAAGGAACCGAAGCTAAGTCGCAGTGATAGTCTGGATAAGTGATTCAGTAATATGGTTGCCTTGTAACATTCTCATTAACCTACCTACCTAAATCCTCAAGCAGAAGCCCTAACGTATGCCCGTGCAAGTTCCTTACCTCGAACTCTACACCCTAATCCTTCAATCCTAAACCCTGAGCCCTAAACCCTTAACCCTAGGCTGCTGTTCTCTGCAAGGAGCCCAATGCAAATACAACAACGGCTTGAGTGCGTAAACTGGGAAGGTTTCTCAAAATTTTCCACTGCATTCCCCTAACCTTAGGAGTTAGGTTTTACGGTTACCCTAAACCTATTTCCCACGGACCCCTGGGTCCCTCAGTGCCCTTCCTTTTGAGAAGCTCTTTTATTGACCTATAATCACGGCAAAGTTCTCAGCAACAAGGGTTTGGGGTCAGCAGTCTTCAGAGATCCAACTACCTAGACCCTCCATCTACCCTCTATATACCCCTAAATATCCCCTATTAGGGGCCATATACCCCTAATTAAGGGTAAAAGGATGGTCCTGGTATTGAGCCAGCGCCATAGGATCTAGCTACTTGCTGAAAGCACGGCGCTCCACACTCTACTAGCTAGGGTTTAGGGTTTAGGGCTTAGGCCCATCTACTAGCTTTGAGACATCCCATCTCCTGGCCGATAAAACTGATGAAAGCTCGAGGCACGCCCACACCTGGAATATTACCAGCTACCCTCTGGTCTGTTCAGGGTTTCCACTCTCCGGGGTGGTCTGAGGCCCCGGTTAACTTTTTCGAACCTAAATCGCTGAATCCTAAACCCCTAAATCCTCTCAAGCATCTGCGGGTATGTCTTTGCCCGCACCTTCGGCTAATGCTTGCAGTGACGCTGTGGACCTCTGAAGGGCGGCTTAGGGATATTTAGGGGCACAAAGAGCATCAGATGCACAAGAAAGAGAAAATCAAATGCCCATTGGGATTACAGAAGTATGTCTAGGGTTTAGAGTTTAGAGGTCCGGTCGGAGTTGCATCAAAATGTGTCAGTGGTGTTTGATTGGCAATGCTCTAACCTGAACAAGACGAACAAACTGTTTTGGAGCAAACCTAGATAGCATGTTTTTTACACATCAGGGGTCGCACGTTCCGAGCAGCCAATTATCACACTGTCCCTAAACCCTATACCCAAAATGCTAGGGCTATCAGATTTTAGTTTACGCATCCGGGTCCCCTTGTTAGGAGCCCCCATATATAAGTAAACCCTTAGCAACTCTAAACCCTATCAACCTCCATAAGCCCTAAACCCTGTATGTAAAGCCTATGAACCCTATACATCTCATAAACTCTATATAGAAACCATCAACCCTGCACGCCCGGGAGGGTCGTGATGGTGGTGTGCTCGAGCGTCAGCTATCAGAGTACTGGAAGGGCCCACTGAGGTCTATGGCGCGGCTAAGCGGCGCGGCAGTCAAATCCTGAAGGGCTCCTTTTTCCCCAAAAGCTGAGTGGCTGCGCATGCCTTGGCCTACAGCGCAGAGCAGCAACAGTGTATTCAATACACTTGCATGCCCCCCCCCCATCCCCTACTAGGATTCAGGAGTTACTCCCTTATTTCGCATCAACGGTGGCTGTTCCAGTGGAGCGAGTCCCTCGGAACGACGCTTCCTGGCTGACTGCATCCTTTCGTCTTCCACAATCCGCCATGCCGCGTTCATCTGGTAAAAGAGCTCGATCTCTTTGCTACCCCCTTTTGTCAAGGAGTTGGCCAGCTGAGCTTCAGAGTGCACCCATCGGATGCCCAGGTTGGTACTCTGCTGTGACTCTTTCAGGCTAATCAGTTCCAGATTTGCCCGCTTTTCTGCTCCCTTCACCACCAGCACCTCGGTGTTGAGTTTGTCGTACACATTCCGGGAGTCTGTGATCAATGTGCCACCGATCTTCTTGACACTCCTCTCAGGATGTCGCACATCCACTGCTCCATGTATGATTTCATGCCATTGGTAGCGTGCATAAAACAGGGCGTCGTCCCCATTCACAGCAGCTTGAGCCTCCGCAGCTCCGGGGCTTCGGCATGTCCTGTCAATCTTTGAAGACTGCCAACTAATCATGCTTATATTGCTCACTTCTCCCGCTAACAGTTCACTCGAGGCCGCTCCCACAAGGATGCCTTGAGTGCTTCCCCCATCTACTCGATTCTGGCTCGCAGCATCAACCCAAGCATAAAACTGCATGTCATGTTGATTGCACTTGTGAATCAGGATGGAATGATCCTTACGGGCTCGTGCATGCTGAAGTAGTAGATTTGCTCGAAGCACCGAGTCTACTGTTGACGTATTCACCTCGGAAAGAAGGAGGCTCACCTCGGCTGAAACGTGGGGTCCTGTTTGCTGGGCATACCAGCTCAGTCCTCCTAACAATGCCCTAAGCTGACCTTTCTCGTGATCCGTGGTGCTGGAGTTGCGTTCCTTGCGTCGGCTGGAGCTCATTCCGATTTCCTTCACCTCTTCTAGGTATCGGGGTTGGGAAAGCCTAAACCCTTCGGGAATGGTCTCGATCAGAACGCCACACTGTGTGAACTTGTCTTCTTCCCAGCTGCCCCAACCAAATCTCTGTTTGATCTGTGCCAGTTTGTCTAGCCAGCCTTGATCGCTACGGGACCCAGCAAACATAAAATCATCGACATGTGCCGTGACCATGCCTCGTAGTTTGCCCGCCTCATGCCATGTCCAACAGCAGGAGTCCGACCAAAGTCTTCGAAAGCCTATGGACTCTAAATATTCCGACACCGTCCTATACCATTCTAGCGGTGCTTCCACCAGGCCGTAACATGCTTTCCGCAGCCGAGTCACGGTTCCTGGGGCCAGGTTCATTGCTTCAAGGATTTCGTTACAAGGTACACAATAAAGCTCATTGGGATAATCTCTACCTTGTAAAAAAGCCCCGCTGACGTCTCCTTTCGTGACTTTCCAACTCAAGTTGGCAGCTGCTTGGAGGAACAACTGACGGGTCATCCTCGTCATCACTGGTGCCGTGGTCGATCTGTGTTCGTACTGGGGGTCCTGATACCCCAGCAAGACGGCCCGTGCTTTAGGTTTAACCCCCCCATTGTCCAACATTTTCCAAGTTAAAATCCAGCGCATCGTGATGGCTTGTTCAGGTGAGGGCTTAATGTGAGAGGGAAGGGCCTCGAAGGCTTTTGCTGCAATAAAATTGCGCACCTCCACTGACTTAGCACTTCTGAACTCCTCTTTTTGTTCTGGAGTCAGGCGCCTTTCGCTCACCTCTACGGCCTTACGCTTAAGCGCCCCAACAAAGTAACTTTGGAGATTATGCGAAGCCTTGTTCCAGCCAGTGGTGTTCTCTGGCATAGCCACTTCCACTGCTACAGCTGCCTCCTCCTGAGTCCTAAAAGCTGAGGCTTCCGGCTCCCATGCCTGAGGCTCCACATCTGTCCACCAAGCTGCGGCTGCGGTACCTCCAACTGCGCTACTTCTTGGTTGTCCCCTCCGTCGCCAATTGCTCGGCTGGCTTCCGCCTTCACCCGGCATGGGCTCATCTCCTGCATCTTCTTCTCCCTCACTCTCACACTCACGCAGCGGTGCTGGCGCCGGTCTTTTCCCCCGCACCCTATTAGTTACTGGCGGCACTTCTTCCATGAGATCCTGAGCTCGTTGCCATTCTGCCTCCGATGGCACCTCAGCACTAATGTCCTCGACCTCCAATAGCGCTAGCTACACGGGAAAAAGTCCAAGGTGTTTGACCCTCTGGAGTCAAATGCTCAATGACCTCCTCCCTGTGGCTCGCAGGACGAAGTTGCTCCCTACTACACTTCAGTAATCTTCGGCCTCGCACCAACCAGATAGCATTACCTGGCCGAGCCTCTCCCTGCGATCCCTGACGAGACTCCATGGCGAGTATCCTCGCCGGACCAAGGAATCTACCATGATTCGTTCCGGGGTGCTTATTGGATTTCCCCACCTCTTGCGTTCTCCAAAAGAAAACAAGATCTCCTGGAAGGTATTGACATTGGGGTCGTGTTCTCGAATTCATGGCTCTCTTGATACGTTCCCTGGCTTGCCAATCTGCTAGGGCCTTCTCTGCAATAGCCCTCCGTTCGGCTTCCCGTTGGAACTCCTGCAAGGGCTGATTAAGGAGGGGCTCGGGAACTAGATTTCTCACTCCGGGGAGAAGATTTCCGGCCTCGTCGGGCGCCTGTCCTAAAACATGCTGTGTTGGCGAAAAACCCCTCACAATCTCTCTGTGGTTGAACGTGGACACTGCCATACTAAGGGCTTCTTCAGGCCCCATGTCGGGGTCATGGTCCACAAGTTTGGTCATAAGGGTCTTTAAGCCCTGAATTGCTTGTTCGGCAATCCCAATTTGCCAATGCGCCTCACCAAGAATGAGATCAAGGAAGATTCCATTTCGGTCGCAGAAACTTTCAAGAGCCGTGGATCTAAAACTCCCCGCCGGGTCCAGACGAAGGGCCTTGGGTTTACCAAACAATCCAGCCCTCACTCATAAAATTGATGCAGGAGGCCGCGTTTGGGGTCTTCTTGCTGCCTTTGCTCAGGATTTTTGCAACACGGAACCGCGAACCTTCGTCCATCACCACCATAAAGTTCTGTTGTTCCCCTGTGGGTCCATGTAACCAATGGCCTATATCCGCGGCAATAGTATGAAACTTTGGGGGAAGCGCCTCCAAGGACGCAACCTGTTTGGGAGACACCTTCTTGCGTTCCTGACACACCGGACACACAAACTCCTGTGCCAACTTCAACACCAAGGGATCTGCATGCCGTCTTTTGAGGGCATCAATCATGTGCCTGGTGCTTCCATGGCCTGTGGCTGCGTGTAGCAGGTACAGTTGGCGCTTGATCTGCTCCTCTCTGGCTGACTGACTGAGTCTGGGTGGAGCTGTCGGCCCCTCTACAACCATGGCTTCCTGAGGCTGCGACCACTTCATGCCAAGTTGCTGTAGAAACGTCTTATCCTGAGAACCCAACTTATACACACCCCGACTAGTATACGCCCCCACGACTTGTCGCTGTCCTTGCCAGGGTTGAACTTCATGCCATTTCCGTGCATCAAACCTAGCTGTCTTTTGACATGTCGGCAGTATCCATCCTACTTGCTGCTGCCCATTGGGCAGCTGTTTCCACACCTTAGTGCTCTTCTCGGGGCCATTGACCCCTTCCACCCATATCCCACCTTGCTGGTACTTGGTGACCCCTACGATGTAGCTGGGAGTTCCGGGTGCATTATGAACATCCCTATGCATGCCAGTCATGGCATTGTCATTGATCATAATGGTGCTACATTGGAGTTCCGTGGGGGACCAGTGTCGCATGTAATTCATGAGATATCTGCACAAGTGTGGGTACTTCCGGGTCCACTGAGTCACTCCGTAGTGGTTACCATGCGCATAGGCTCCCAAGATCATGTACTTCGGTTGGTGTCCTTGGACCAGATTTCGGCACTGGCTTCTATTGGGGTAGGAGATTTGGCCCAACAACCTTGCACATGCCGCATGTTGGTACTCTTGCGCTTGGTTCATCTGGTGAGCCAGCTGCTCAACTTTTCCTTGTGCATCCTCCACAGTCAAACCCTCATGCTGTTCGAGGTCTGGGGGCCTTGATTCTAGCTGTTCCCACACATCAAGCACCGAACACCCCTGAACCCCTTCTACCTGATCCCGCCTTGCGTCGTCATGGTCCTGGTTACTGTCCTGCCTTTCGGGCAACCCTTTTTGGGGTAACTTCAGTGCGCCTACACCTGCCACATCAAGCTCCGAAGCATTTTCCACTAGGAAGTCACTCTTCTCCCGTAAGCAACAAGGACAAGTACGAGGAACCCCCGGAAGGCAAACTTCACCACACGTACAAAACTCTCCTTCCCCGAACCCCTGGACCAGAAAACTTTGACCCTGACACTCTCGGATCACATCTTGATGAGAGAGCTCTTGGCAGATCACCCTGGCTGCTCGTTTGGCATACTCTGGTGTATACCGGGCACTTGCTGAGGCACTGCTTCCCTCACACTTACCATGACAATAATTCTTGGGACATCTACAAGGCAAGTCCATGGCTTCTGACAAACGCTTGTGAGTCGTGAGAATTCTCCAGCCTTTCTGCATGAGACTACCGGTTTTCTTATCCCGAAGGCCTACCGCACAACCCTTAGTCACCGCTCTATACAACTGGTACTTGGATTGTAACTGGTTCAGCGCCGGCAATCTCCAGGCATCTGAGCGGTCAGCAAGTTCAAGTGTGACATGTATCCCTTGTTGAATGGCATAATGCATCACACATGAGGTGCCTACATAGATTCTGATGGCTTCTTGTCGCTTCTGTTTGAGGTCTTGAGCCTGTTCGGGGGTCCCCTGATTAGTTCTTTGCAAGGGACTGAAAGGACCACAAGGAGGGCTCAACCAAACATGTTGCGGTTTCTCCAGATCAATGCGTTTCATGATCAGCCGCACTCCTGCGTCTGAAGACAAGTCACAGCCGTTAAACAGGGAACACCGTGTAGCTGCTTGCTCTCTTTTCTGCTGGGCTTGCACCGCTGACGATAGAAGACTGTCAGGTTCACAAGCACATTCCATCAGACACACTCTATTGTGTCCAGCCAAAGCTTGGAAAATCTTGGGCACAAGCGACCAGGCTTGTTCTTCCAAATTTCGGGCCTGGAGTGGCCCCAAAAGTCTTCGCTGATTCCCTCCTAGCTCAGCGCTCAGCCTCTGTGAGGCGCTCATATGTCGTCGCCCCACTTGGACCTGCTCGGGGGAGGTCTCGGTTGCTACCGCCTCTAGCCCTTCTTGCCGGGAGTCGGGTGCACCATCTTGAAGGAGTCGTCGGTCATGGCCTCGTCCTCGGTCTCGTTGCGGCCCTTGGCCTTCCGTGGCCTCTCGCCTTTCACCTCCGCCAACTCTTTGCAAAGGGTCTCCATAGTATCCGCCATCATCGCCATCTGCTTCTCGAGGCGGTCCGTGATAGTGGTCGGTGGCGGACTCGAGGCCGCCTTGGTCGAAGAGCTCGCCTTCTCGTTCTCGTCCTTGGGCCGAATCATCTCCTTGCTGAGATAGCCTCCGGCGAGGGGCTCCTTCTTGACCTTCGTATGTCCTTCGGGCTGGTTCTGCTCTTCCAGCTCTCCTTGGAGTGTTTCCCGAAGCCCACAAGGTCCTGCCCCTCGGCCGGGCAGCGCTTCATGATCATCTCCATGGCCTTCATCTCCATGCGACTCATCACCTCGTTGCCGGTCAGCGACATGCCGAGCTTCTCGGTGCAGAAGCTCACAAGGGTAGCCTTCTTCCGTGCTGCCTTGCGCAGCGCCAGGCACCACTGCTCGAGCGTGGTCTTGTTGCTCTTGGTCTCGACGGGCTCTCCCCGCAGAGTCTTGAGCTCCGCGATGCGAAACTGGATCTCGGGTCGCGTCCACGACTTCGGCGCCTCCTCGCCCATCTCCTTGAGCGTGGCAATGAGGTCGTCCTTGGTGGGTCGCGGCATTGTTGAGGTCGCTAGTTCCTACTTCTGGCAGATCTGCTTGAAGTGAGGCGGCTGCAGCGAGTGGATCTGCTCCAACGTTCCGGCTGCCAGGTGCTTCACTCACCGGAGACTCTGCTTCCATTGATGCGAAATTAAAACTTCTACTCTCTACCCCAGATTTCAAATCACTCCTGAATCCTAGTGCACTATCTGCATTATCATTCAGAGTGGTTTTCACCCCTTGTTCCGCGGACTGTTGGACCGCCGTGTCTTCTGCGGAACTAGAAGCACGGAGGAGTTGTCCCTATGGGCCTACAAAATCCTCTAGACTGGGGATCGCACTCTTGGCAATCACCGAGTCTCCGTAGAGGTCATCCGTCATCGGTAGAAGCTGATGGCCCGTTTGGGAGCGTTCCGCACTTATCAGGCGTCGATCATCCAAAGCCCTAAAACAGATTAAATCTCGATCAAAATCGATCACTGCCTTGAGTCGGCGCAAGGCCTCTACACTCAGCAACAGCGGGCCACTGCCTTGGTTAAGACAGTGGACCTTCAGCTCTCCCGCCTGCTCATTGGCCTTCACCTGCAGCTGCACGGTCGAGGTGCAGCGGTTTTCCGACCCATTCCCGGTCGGTCTTGGAGGTTGATCGCCTTCACGCCGCTGTTGCCGTGCTTCTTGGCATTGAGGGCCATGATGTGCTCCATGGCAGTCACCTAGATTCTTGGTAGCCCCTCCATCCACCACTGCCTTGCCCTGACGCACTGCCTCCGAAGTGGAGATGCCAGTAGTCAGGGCCTGCTGCACCTCATTGAAGCAGATGAAGGAGGACGAAGCGTCCACTGTCTCTGCCACTTTGGCTGAGGACGGAGGCTCCGGGCAATTGGCTACCCAACTCGGCCGACCGAAGGCATGTCATCTTGGAATCATCTCTGCTGGAGGTCGAAGAACTGGTGGAGGTCTTAGTCTTGAAGTACTGCCGGGACAGCTTCACGTTATGCTGCTTCAGCCTGGCCTGCTTCAGGGTGTTGCGAGCGTGCTGCATCGCGGCCATCGCTTCCTGAGCCTCCTTCTCCGCTTCGCCCCAAAGGACCTGCTCGTCGTCCTCGAGGTCCTCGCCAGCCATCGAGGGCTCCTGCTCCTCCTCAGTCAGCTCCTCCGGGATGTCGCTCAAGTAGCTTGTGTTCTTGTAGTTCGTGAAGTCCCGTTTTGCGCCATCCAAGACGGCACATTGGCTGGTGAGGCCGGAGTCATGAAGGAGGTACCAGCCTTGGACATAGTCGGGCAGGAGTTCCGGTACCTGCATCATCCGAGGCTCGTCTCGTTGCCACCACGAGTCCCACGAACTGGCGCCGGAGTAGCCCCACTGCCAAGATCCTTGCCACCATCCTGTCTGCCAGGGATGCTGCCAACCATTCCAGTCTTGATCACCCCAGCCAGTTTGGTTGGTCCTCTCGGCCTCATCTTCAGGAGCTGTCGTGGCCGATCCCTCAGCTGCAGAGACACTGGCTCCAGTGTTGGATGCCTCTGCCAGCGGTTCGCTGTTCACGCTGGTGAAGCTGCTGCGCCGACTGCCAGGCCATGTCGATGACCACTCCGACGAGGGAGTCCTGGCGGGAGGTCTCGTAGTTCCAGCTTGGTGCGGGGCCACTCGCTGAAGGGCCTGGCAAGCGCGCATGTAGATCTCGTTCTTCCGCGTGATGTAGTCATTGATGTTCTCTCCAGCACGCCGGCGGGAGCCCTTGAAGAACCTGCTCAGCTGCTCTGTGAGTTCGGACAGCTGCGGCTTCCCCAGGCTGGCTCGCAAGTGGTCGGTGAGCCGCCTCACTCCATCGTTGTGAGACAACCACTCGGGATGGCGGCCTGCCACCAACCTGCGTGCTGCCCCTGTGAGCTCTGCGGCCAATTTCGGGCCGCAAAGGTATCTTTTCTGGAATGCAACTGATTGCTCCCACAAGAGCGCGGACTCGTCGTACTCTTGATACGAGCTGGCATTTCCGTCCCAACTGGGCACACCCTCTCTCGCACGCCCATTCCCGGACATGTTCTTGGCCTCGGGGAGCGGTATCACCAGGCCAATGTCGTTCCCTGGATCACAAACTTCTCCAGCCCCAAGCCTGAGCCTGAGGCTCCGCTACCATGCACGCCCGGGAGGGTCGTGATGGTGGTGTGCTCGAGCGTCAGCTATCAGAGTACTGGAAGGGCCCACTGAGGTCTATGGCGCGGCTAAGCGGCGCGGCAGTCAAATCCTGAAGGGCTCCTTTTTCCCCAAAAGCTGAGTGGCTGCGCATGCCTTGGCCTACAGCGCAGAGCAGCAACAGTGTATTCAATACACTTGCAAACCCTAACCCCTAAACCCTCAACCGAACCATTCATCCCTTGACCTTAACCCAAGATGGGAAGTGGCGAGAGATAGGGTTGCACAGTACATAGTCCTCATGGGCTTCCCTACTACCCCCCTCTATACTACCCCCACCTAGGTTCCCCCCTGATCAAGCTTAGTTAAGCTTAATTCTCCCCAAATAACCTTAATTAAGGGGGGAACCTAAGGGGGGGGGTAGTACAGAAAGGGGACCCCAAACCCTGAACCCTAAACCCTAAACCCCTAAACCCATGAAGTCTACGGGTTTGTTTCAGGCTTCCTGCCAGAAGGTAGATGAGCAGCTTATACAAGGGTTTAGGGTTTAGGGGTTTAGGGTTTAGGGCTTAGGGTTTAGGCTTGCTTGGAGCCGCTTCATTTCCTGGGTTGCTGTTGAGGAACTTAAGCTAAGTGACTACAACAGGGAAAGCCTGTCATTTACTAACTACCCAGGTATCATGGTAACTTAGAATTAAGTTCCCAAACCCTAAACCGCTAAACCCCTAAACCCTAAAGTCTAAACCCTAAAGCCTAAACCCTGAACCCCTAAACCCAGCAACCCGGCATTTTGTCTAGGGTTTAGGATTTAGGGTTTATGCTTTAGGGTCTTTTGCTCTACTTGCTGCATGTGGAATGTACATTTCGAGCAGCCCGCCCTGTTTTCAAATCCTCTACTGAGTGGTACTTTGAAGGCTCCCTAATCATTTATGAGTAAGTTTCCTTAGCCAACAATAGGGGAAAATATACACTTTCCCGACTTGCCACATAGCCAAACGATCTCAGTGCATCCCGTGCTAGCTAGCATTAAGATGATGCCCAGTGGCACTACCAGCAGCGGCGCGATATCGGCCCTTAGCCGATTCGGAACTGGGGTGGTTATGCATGAGCCAAATAAATAGGGATTGCATGGGGAGCATAGGAGGGTTGCAGAATTTGGGACACTACCCCAATCATGGTGAACGAAATGAAAAAGAACATGGAACACAGCAGGAAACTATACTGTCAGAGCCGCACCCCGCGCCCTGAACACCTTGGTATCCAAGTATGAGGGGCACAAAACTATGCTCCAAACAAAACCCTCTATAAATCCTTAAGCCTACACCCTAAGCCTTGAACCCTAGAACCTTAAGAGCAGTCGTCCCTGCCCAGAGGAAGATCCCAACCCATCAGTCCCCCTTTGGGTATGTTATAGGGTTTAGGGTTTAGGGTTTAGCGATAGAATATGGCTTTCGGTATATTATAATAAGCTCCCCATATACCCCATATACCCCATATTCTATCTACTTCAGGGGACTACAAGTCGGCTGTCAGAAAGTTCAATACCCCGACCCTAGGATGAATTCAAAACCGCAGCCCCTCTGACACGGGGTTTAGGGTTTAAGGGTTTAATTAAGGTTTAAGGGCTTAGGGGGGTAGGGTTTAGGGTTTAGGGTTTGGGGGCTTAGGGGTTTCGGGTTTCGGGTTTAGATTGCTGGGGTTTTGGAGTATTGTTGATGGAAAAGCCCTGTATGACTCTTTATTTCGACTAGGAATCATGGTAGTATATCATGCATACAGGCTGGCAGGATTTTGCCCTTCAACTGTAGGGTCCCAGCTTAGTAAAAAAACCTAACCTACTGGTGCCTAATAGAGCAGGTAATTAGGAAGGTGAGTGAGAGCGAGGATCCTTACACGAATCCATTTTTCATTTCCTGGTATTCGTCCTTGCTCTGGATGGAGGAAACCGTGCACCATGCTATGTACGTTCTGACCTAGGAAAACCAGTACTTTGGGTATGCAGTGCAAGATTTCCTCCATCCACTTTACATCCACTTCGCCCCACCCTTCCAAGACCGGCCAAAAAATGGGAAGTGAAAGATTTCGGGTGTGGCTGTGGCTCAAACAATACCCAGAGGATCCACGTATATTAGGTGTATAATTAGGACCCCATAGTTCCTTCTGACAAAATCTTCCCTAATAATTGTACGTGTGGACCCTCTGGGGTATATTTGGTGCTGCTGCATACTGTGGTTGGTCGCCCCAAACCCTAAAGCCTTAGTTTGGGGGCGCAGATGTAGGCTTCTTTGCAGACTGTAGGATGTGGCGATGCTTTGGGGTGTAACAGGGTTGAGGGTTTAGGGTATGCGTGTAATCGCGCGGGAGGTACCAAGTTCCAGCTCCCTGAGCTGAAGCAAGTTTGAGAAATACCCAAACACCAAATCGGAGGAAGGGTTTAGGGTTTAGGCAGCAAATAAATGCAGTGTAATTAAAGTGCTGAGAAGCGTCTCAGAAAAGGAAAACCTATCAACTCTTTGCTGCTGTCGAATCTTACAAACCACACAGTGAGTGAATGGAGAAAATCTTGCACCACTTAAGAAAGCTAATATACTCTTTTTTCTTGGGGGTATAAGGCATAATGGGGTGGTGCAAGATTTCCCTCCAGCTTCAGTACCAGGTACTGCCCCCACCCAATTACAGTTCTTATTCGAGCTGTCGTCACGTCCGCGTGTATTAGGGTTTAGGGTTTAGGGTTCAGGGTGTAAAATTTATCCGATCCCACTGTTGCTGACTGCGGGGTCATATACCAACGATACTTACCAGCAGCACAGACGCAGCGAGTAGCTTTTCTGCAAACATCACGCCGATTGCCACTTGTGTTGCGCAGTCATGCTCCTGATATGGGACTTCGCCTACACCACGGTTCCCAGTTTCATATAGTGGCGCGTATGTTAATAGGAGGCAGTATAGGGTTCTTTTCTTTTTTAAGCCTAGACAAACTCCCAAATACACGCAAGACTCAAGTCTGCAATCGGAGGCTTGCCGGTGCATTGCAGAATTCAGCGTCTTCTTGACTGTCCGCAAAACATACCAGATGTCCGTCTGTCTGTACGGCGCAGGTGTGAGATAAGCCCGATGCAGCCGCAGTCACTGGCCCAAGAGTCTCTGGCACCTCACACTCGTTCCTTAGTCTACACCACGCCCAGAGGGTCCAAGTACCCAACAGTTAGGTACTCGGGTTTTGGGCAATAGGAATTCTAGTATAGGTTTTGGGTAGGTATATGAATATAAGGTACTTGGACCCTTAGGGACCACTACCCTCGGAGGAATGTAGGGCCCATGTTAGAGTGTGTGATTTGAGGTTCTACAAGGCAACCCCCTACCCCAAAAAGTTAAAACTCCCTCTCTAAAGTGGACCCGGAGTCCAGATGTTGCTTCCGAAGCACACCAGTTGATGGGTAATCGTCACTGCACAAGTCACTGCATTACCTGCAGACACCGCTAGAATTGGACCCAGGTCTTCCGGTACGAGGCATTGGCCACGACAGTTCCATCCCCAGCAAACCAGCTGCCCATTGGGCTTTACCTGGGTTGCTGTCAGGGAACTTAGGCTCATAACATGCCATGATACGGATATGTAGCTAAAGTAGGGTTTCCTCATCAATGCTAGTGACCTCGTTATCTTTGACATCAAGTCACTGCACACGTGTGCCCGTTGCCTGCAGAAACGCTCACGGCTGGACCCAGATCCGGCGGCACGTCGCACTGGCCGAAATCCCGGAACTTCCCTCGGCCCCCAAAGCAAACAATGCGCCCGCTTGACTGAATCGCGCACGTGTGATCGTCTCCTGCAGAGACGCTCCAAACAATCCCCAGATCGGCAGGTACATCACATTCGCCTCTGCTATTACGCCCAAAGCACACAAGGCTCCCATGCATTGTCACTGCACAGGTATGCCCCGTACCTGACGGGATCATCTTGGAGCCCAATTTGCCCAAACCCTAATTGTCTGAACGTTCTATAGCTGAACTCGAGAATGTCAAAGCCCTGCTATCCTGATGGTAGACTCGTAAATTAAGGTGTATTGCCCTAAACCGTCGTATTCCAGCCAGGAAACCTTGCATGAAGTAGGTCTGATAGCCTGATCGTAAGCCCCCCAAGGAATGTACATAAGATTATTGCTGAAGATGTCGGGGAACCTTTGCACAATTAATTAAGGCTCCCTTCACAGACTCAACATTAGGCGCTCACCCCAAACCTTTAGATCGCAGCAGCCTGCTGAAACAGCTGTGACCATTCCCAGGCTGGGTGGTACGTCGCACTGCCCAAACTTGTTGTCTCCAAAGCAGACAAGCTGATAGCCGGTTGTCACAGCCTTGGATTGGACGTGTGATTGAGCGACTGTTTGCAAGCCGAAGCGTCACCTGATGCCTGTAGGAGCCCTGAACTTACATCAACCACTTCCAACGTTTGGGAAGGAAGTTAGGACTTGCATTTCTCAAGAGAGGGGGTTATTTGCGACCTCAGAGGTGTAGATGGGAACAACTTTCTCCAAGAACGTCTCAAGAAAGACAAGCAGCGCACGTGTGCGCATGTCCCACCGCGACAGAGCGCACCGGCCCTAAGCCCTCGGGCACATCACATTGACCAACGTCATAAATGCGGCACCCAAAGCCTTAATCAGCCACTTCTACCCTGGCAAGAAACAGGATCTTTGTTGAAGATGTGGGGTTCAGGGTTTATTTGCTCTAGGGTTATAGTCCCCCTCAAGTACATAGAATATGGCCTTGGGTATATTGTAATAAGATCCCATATATCTCATATTCTATCTACTTAAGGGGCACTATAATCCCTAAAGCCGAACTTTAATCACCCCAAGTCTAGATCCTATTGCCAAAGTGGATCTCTAACGTTGACCCAGAAGCACACCGAGGGTCCATATATGTTACCATTCTGAAATTAGGGCACAAAATTCCACATTGCAAAAGGAGTTATGGGGCCCAATTTCCCAATAGTTGTATGTGGCAGTTTCCCTACATAAAGGGACCCCTACCATTGGGAAAACCTTAGCCCTAAGTACCCGTACCTCATGTACCCCTTTAAAATCCCCACATAAACCCCTAAACCCTAAACCCTAAACTTCAAAGGTCCAGAAGCAAACCAGCTCGTGGGATTCTGTCACAGCGCAGGTGTGACGACTGGAAGAAACTCTTTGCATGCTATCTGTTGGTGGCAGCGCCTAGGGGCTTCTCGAAATCATGTGAGGTACAGACTCAAGGTAGGTTGGGGGAACCTATAAGTCTATAAGGTGATGTATAGGGGATTGGTTGGGGGGATCTTAAAAAAAACTTTAGTCCAGGGCTCATGTATTCACTGTTGGTAGGTACCCTATAGCAAGGATCCTACTAGTGAAAAATCCTAAATTGTAAACCCTAAACCCTATGAACCCTAAACTCCAGAAACCCCAAACTCTAGAAACCCTATACCCTAAGCCCATGTTTTCAAGCTGTCCGCCTTCAGGAGGCTGGGAGACAGATATGTTGCAGCCTGTGCTATCAGCCGGCTAATTCCACGCCACCTTCTCAGATCTTTGCCTTACGGGGTGGTTAGTAAGGAATTAGGGGTTAGGGTATAGGGTTTCGGGTATAGGGTTTAGGGTTTAAGGTATAGGGTTCAGGGTATGGGGTTCAGGGTTTAGGGTATCGGGTTTAGGGTTCAGGGTTTTGGGTTTAACCCTAGATATTGTATTCCCATCTAACCCTAAGCCCTGACTCCCCAAACCCTAGATCCCATACTTAAGATCTTTGCCTTGAGGTCTCGTAGCGCGCATCCCGAAAGCAGCGCCAGTAACTCCACGAAGAGAGCCCATGCTGACTGGCTACGACCCTTCTTCAAGTGTGTTTTCATACAGGTCCCAGGCTAGAGTTTAGGGTTTAGGGATTTCGCTGTAGGGTTTAGGGTTTTAAGGCTTAGGGTTCAGGGCATAGGGTTGAGGTTTCAGGTTGTAGGGTTTAGGATTCAGGGCTTAAGGTTGAGAGTGTAGGTTGATTGAAGGATAGCTCTATTTCACAGCACCCGTATAGTTAGACCTTGGTGTCTTGACCTTCATTTTGAGGTAACAGGACCCCTTAACCCTAAACCCTCACCCCTCTAGAACAATGTTTTTTGTTGCTTTCTTTGGCGCTTTCGTCCCATTAGTTTGCCAACTGTTGATGGGAGCACCATGAAGCCTGAACCCTCCTTCCTTAAGGGTTGGCAGCCACCACCCTAGGGGTTTAGGGTTTGGGTTTAGGGTGTTCTCCTGTCTTCATGTTAAGAGGGATCCACTTGAAAACTTGGGAAGTTGTAGCGATTTAGAGGGGGGTAAGCTGCTTCTCTTTTGGTGTGTAGAGTTGATGTGGGGGGGGTTGCTCTTGAGGTGCGTAGTCTGGACAACAGCGCTGCAAGGTTCAGGATTTAGGATTTAGGGTTTAGGATGGTGTAGGGTTTAGGGTGCATGTACTTCACGCTTGCAAAGGAGGCAGGCCATTGTGCACATGCTCCAAGACCTGTCGAGAAAACAGCAGAGGTCCAGTGGGTCTATGTTGGGCACCCCCCATTCATGGAACTTACCACGTGACGGGGCAAACTGCAACCCACTAACTCGATAAATAACTCGTTGGTAGCCGCCCATACCCCAAGAACCCGAAACATTGAACATCAACATTAACTTGTCGTTTGGCGTGCTGAAAAGCACACCCACATGCACTTTTGCAAATCTACACACACACATGTATATTTGTTTGTGTGTGTATATAAGTATCTATACACATATATGACTAAGGACACTGATGCCTCCAAATGTTGAATTCTTAGACCCTTATCCTGCCCCCAAGCTAACAGCTAATCCTTTCCCTCTAATAGTAAAGGGCCCCCCCCGAGTGTATACACTAACCGTATTGAATGTTAGGAGGGGAGGGGCATTCATCGTACGACCCGAACATTAGGGGAATATAATAGTGTCCTCTTGCAATCTAATTCAAAACGTCTAAGGTTCAAAAATCCGGGTAGAACGCTGATTAAATCGAATTCAAATCGTACTAAAACCCATGAGCTTCAAAGTAAAGTTCAAGATAACCAATTCAAAATCAAGGCAACAACGTAAACCCTACATGTATATGTATATGTATATGTGAAATCTCATTGAAATCCAGTCACCGACTAACACTTAAAATTTACGCAAAATCTAATTACAAACAGAATTTTAATCATGATGTAAATGGCAATAAACCCAACTAAAATCGCATTCAGACTGTAATTACATTCCTTTATAAGAGCCATTCAAAAACCATGCGAGTCTAGGCTAGGAAAGCAAGGATTTCTCTCATGATGAAGAGTCGTGCTAGGGACCCCCGCTAATTCAGAGGATCCAAGCTGTAATTTACTGTAGTCTGTGGCCTTTTAAAAAAGTAGTCTAGGGGTCGGATTTCAGAATTTGGAATTCTGGGAAACCTGTATTTTACAGCAGTTTCAAGTCTGCTGTTGCCTTGTGAGAAGTTTGAAGTCATCATCGCTGTGATCTTATGTTGCCAGGCTGGGTTGACGTATGTATAGAGATGCCAAAGCACGAAGTTCTAACTGCAAAGATGTCAGCCTTGAACCCTGAACCCCACACAGTGAAGCCAGAGAGTCCAGTACTCCTCAACTAACGAATATACCCTAGATGGTCCTTGGATCCCCCCGAATAATGATCATTTCAGGATTTAGGGTTGAAGGTTTAGGGTTAAGGGTATATTCTCTACTTGACGGATATTTGCCGCCCTAGAACCCCCAACCCTAAAAAAACACGATATCACTTGCTTTCCATGTCACTGTTGATGTCTTTTTTGGGGCTCTATATTTTTATTGCTCTACATGAAGCCCCCAAAGCCATCCCAAAAGAAATCCAAAACCCTACACCTCCAACCCCAAGAACGTTGAGGCAAATACCAGTGGCTTCCGGCCGCAGTTCGCTTGCCTTGCCATACTTACTCGTGCTTCCTAGGAAATGAGGGAATCGGTCATAAAAGGAAACTCATATATGGATTCTATTCCCCAATTCCCTACTAGCCACCGAAAGCACAGGGTTTGGGTTTGAGGTTTTAGGACATTGAGGCAGGAAGGCTTGCAGGAGATTTTGGTTCTAGGGTTTTGAAGGGGGTCGGGATTCCGTGCATTTCTCTTGTTGTGTGTAGTTGCCATCTTGAATTTTTTTTGGGGGGTGGGGGCAGTTGGGCATCGTTCGGGCTTTTAAGGTAGGTGTTACAGCAGATCTGCCCCGGATTTTCTTGGGTCACCCTAAACCCTAAAGACTAAACCATAAACTCTAATCCCTAAACCCTAAACCCGACACCACCCTAGCGCCCCCGGCATCATCTAGTCTATCCTTGCCTCAGCCAAACCCTTAACTCGAAACCCCTACACCAGGCACATGTTGCCCCCGTACACTCCCTTCGCCTAATACTGAATCCCACGCCAATACTGAATTATAGGGTTGAGGGTTTAAGGTTTAGGGGCCTAAAATCCGGAAGGGAAGCTTGAAAAAGACCAAGACGACTTGAATATTAGCAGGAAGCGATTAGAATTGTATATGATCGTCCGGACCACCCTTTCCCACACAGATGTGTGAACTATAGTCTACACTCCTAGTATCCCCCTTGATCGTCCCTATCATACTGATCTATATAATCCGCTATATAACCCCTTATAGAATTCTAGACCCTAAATCCTAAACTCTAAGGTTCGGTCGTGTGACACTATAAACTTTCAAGACCCTAAACCCTGCCCTGTTTCATAATTGCATAAGTTACTAGATAGACTGTAGCGCTCCAACCCTAAACCCTAAACCCTAAACTCTAAACCCTAAGCCCTAAACCGTGCCAACAAGGCACAGCCAGCAAACCGCCGCAGAAGTCGACAGCGCCGGCCGAGCGCCTCACAGACAAGGTGGTGCGCGGTTTATGGAGTTTTGGGGTTTACGATTCAGGGCTTAGAACTTCGGGTTTCGGGAGTTAGGATCCAGAGTTTAGGGTGTAAAGCTTACCCTAGAAGCCCACTTACCTATATATTGGGTTCCTGTCCTTAAGTCCCTGCATGAATTTACAGTATCTATAACCCAAGGACCTACTATATGGATACCTGGGCTTCTAAGGTTAGGGTTCAGAAATTTAGGGTTTAGGTTTCAGGACCCCGGTTGTGACTTTAGGCTTAGGCAGGGTCATATGAGCCATGGTCTAAACTCCTAGTATCCCCCTTAATAACCCCCATAATAGTCCGTGATATAATCCCCTATATTACCCCCCTTTAAGGAGTTTAGACTATAGCTCATATGGGAGTGGTTAGTCATTAGTCTTAAGA